AAAAGGTCTAAAAGAGTTGACCGTTGTCGACCAGGCTAGAAGGGGGGCTAATGCCAAGCCGTTCTTATCGTCCCCTTCGTTTCCTAAGGCTGGGCAGGTTCCAAAAGGGTTATGTCAACAAAAACGCTTCGCCCCACTGTGTAGTTTTGCGAGGGACTGGTCTGGCGGTTGATCTGCCGGGACATGAACGGACCCGATTTTGATCCTAAAACCCCTGCGACCGGACATCTTTCCCCATTCTGCGAAAAAAACGGCAATCATCCTTTTGATTTTGACGGTCCCGTGATCGCGGAGGGAGGAGAATCATTTTTTAAACTGAGAAATACAGTATTTGGGCCCCGGGTTTTTTGAGGAAAACAAAAGGGGCACACGGTGCGGGTATTTCCCCGTCGAAGTGGGGCGAGGGGCCCTCTTTTCCACTTCGCTCTAAAATTTGGGGTTAAAGATTAGGATTGCGGTTAATAAAGGGAAGGGCACTCAAAAAAACTTGGTGAGGGGGCTACGCAGCCGTGGCGACTTCTTATCTCACAGTACCTCCTTCGAAACCACCAAGTCGTCTTGTCTCTGGCCGAAAGTATAACACCATCCGGTAATTCTGTGCGGCGGGGAAGCAGCCCTGAGCTTCATGAACTCAGGTGGGCCCACCTCCGAATACGTTTAGGAATCGTGGGCCGAAACGTGTGTCGAAAGAGGATAATTTCTACTGATGACTGTAGATCCCCGCTGTACTTGCTCCCTGTGAGTTTATTCTTATTACTTACTATCTTGTCTGCGACAGAGAAACCCAATTACTCATTTTAGTTTATGTGAGGGTTTTGTTAGCCACTACCTTCCGTTGCTAGATCTAAACCTGCTTGTTCGTACAGAAATTAAAATGTAGTAGAGCTATTTCAGTTTATGTTAATTTGAACTGTGTTAAGAACCGACATGCCGTTACTAGGGGAATTCCCATAAATGCTTAATTCCTTGCTCTAGCAGCGAGCGAAGAGTTCCAGTTCCGATGCTACCAGTAGCGATTTGACTGTGTGCATTTCTTGCCTTTCCCGGGGCCGAATTAAGACTCGTTGAGGCTTTAAGCATTTAAACGATTTTGTTGTCCTCATATGTCTAATTCAAAATATACATTATAATAATAAACCATAAACAAATTTCACTTATCGAAATTAAAGAAAACTTCCAATAAGATGAAAATTAATGTGTTTTTTTTTTTATACTTCCCCTTCATTTATATTTAAAAAAGGTCCTAGTTTTTTAACCATGACGTTTTTGATCAGATCCTCAATTCTGATCGTATGTAACACATTTGCTTCTACACAGCCTGCTCTGTTGCATTGTTGTTTCATGGTGATTTTTTTACACACTTTAACTGAGAAAGGGAACGCCCAATTAAGCAATTTGTGACCGCTAATGTTGAAAATATACATGAAAGCCAGTGTCTACTTTTGGAAAGATATATTCAGTATTGTCTACTACAATTATTTAATCAAGTTCTACATGGCTGAATTGTATTTATAATTTGTTGTCGTTGTTGCACTGAACCTCTGGCGCACACATGGATGAAATTACTGAAGCTTAGCTGATATGCAGTATTCCTCACGTCCTTTTTAGGACGTAATTTTTTGTCATTTGAAGCCCCACTCTGGATTTTGCCAGAGGCCGCAATATAGGCAGGCCATAAATATGGCCAATTGTCTGAACGCGGTTTCTGGGACCTCTCCACGGTGATCCTCATCCACATGGTGGCACTTTGTGTCATCGGGTGTTTATCGCTTGTGTGATGTCCTAGTGGGGTAGAAAGTCAAGTCAAGTCAAGTCAGCTTAGCTGAGAAATTACTGTTGAAGTCCTCAGGGTCAGCTTTTGACAGCACGGAGAATACCTTTCAAAGTCAGTAGAGGATGCAATGACATTATGTGAACATCACTTAGAACAGAACATCTCTGCCATTTTCCTTGATATGAACAGAGTAAAATGAGGAGTAGAAGACAGCGGGTAATTTTCTAAACGTGAAATTTTAATTGTACATTGCCTGATGAAATTTAAGTATTTGAAGAGGTGGAGCAGAACGCTCAACCCCCCACCCCCTTTTCCATTTTCGCACTTAAATAGGCGTTCTGCGTGCACCCGTCTTGTGATAATAATAATAATAATAATAATAATAATAATAATAATAATAATAATAATTATTATTATTATTATTATTATTATTTTACTACCGCAAAAAAGTTATGTTTCTGATGCAGTATGAATGATTCCACTGACATTGTACAGAAAGTATGCAAATTTGGCAGACTACGTCCAAAGTTTCCCTACTTGTATTTACGTTGGAAATTTTTGTTCTCTTTCGATTTCATGACCATTTGTGGAGGTCTGTACTCACTCTTTGAGTGAGTGCTTTTTGCTATTATTGTGTATATCTGTTTGCAAATTGTTTTTCTCCACGTAATGTGGGTTCCCTTTTTGCGAGTCCTGATTCAGCCACACCATTCACAGTATTGCTCCATTTGTCCCACTGACCATGGTAAATTCGGCTATGGAAAATAAATGTAGTGGTCCTTACCCCTCCCCTTCCCTAAACACGTACTGGTTTTTTTGGGTGGGGGGGGGGGTGTAAGGGGGCCGCGGTGAGGGTTGGTGGTTTAGGGGGGGGGGGGAATAGGGTTTATCCAGGGTTAATCCAACCCTCGCCTTTCCTCTGAGTGTTAAATAAACATCGGCCAGATCCTCTTGTCCCTCCAGCTGCACCACTCTCTCCAGACAGTAATGTTTCTCTCTCCAGACCGTGATGTTCTTTCCAGACAGTAATGTTTCTCTCTCCAGACCGTGATGTTCTTTCCAGACAGTAATGTTTCTCTCTCCAGACCGTGATGTTCTTTCTCCAGACAGTAATGTTTCTCTCTCCAGACCGTGATGTTCTCTCTCCAGACAGTAATGTTTCTCTCTCCAGACCGTGATGTTCTCTCTGTTCATGCCTCCTGATTGTTGACACGTTTCCAAAAAGCTTTGATAGTATTCAAATTTATTCTTTTCATTAACTATTTCCCTTTAGGTCTGCGCCTAAAGAAAACCCCGGCATCTCGACTACTGCGAAACCAGAAGTGGCTGTGGCAAGCGAAACATCGCACATGAGAACAGCCAGTATAACATCAGAAACAGGCAAAATTATGGAAGAAGGCAGCCATATTTTAGCAACATCGCTACCAGACGAACACAATCTAAGTGAAAATGTGCAGTACGACAAACCTTTCAACGATTTTTCCAATAATGGACATATAGGCAAAAGTAAAACTCGAACCGTTAGTGTCAACGAGTTGGGAAATGGTGACACCCGAGAACTTATGGAGATAGAAGGTTTGTTAGCGGAAGAAAAACTCCACTCTCAGATTCATAGGAAAGGGTCTATTTCCAAGAAAGGTTCCTTGAGTCAACGAAGTGTTCGAGGGAGTCGCTGGAGCTTCAGACACACACCTGTAGGAAGTTTGCTGAGTCTTCCTAGCGGCGTAGAACCAGTTTTGACTAGTGGGGTTCTACAGGTGTCACCTCCTGCCGAGGTCAAGAGTCAAGGCTGGAAATCATGTTGCTGTATTGTCATCATCAGACGTATATTTGATCCTTATCTATTCAGGTGTGTATGATTGTCCTCTCATTACAACAATGCAGCTGTGCTTTGTATATATGTCATCTTTATCTCTAGAGATATGGGTATATTTGATCCCTATATTTTCAGGTATGTGTGATTGTCCTCACATTACAACAATGCAGCTGTGTTTTGTGTATATGTTATCCTAATCTCTAGAGATATGGGTATATTTGATCCTTATATTTTCAGTTTTGTATGACTGTCCTCTCATTACAAAATTACAACTGTATTTTATGTATATGTTATCTTTATCTCTAGAGATATGGGTATATTTGATCCTAATTTCTTCAGGTATGCGTGATTGTCCTCACATTACAACTATGCAGCTGTATTTTGTGTTATCTTTTATCTCTAGAGATATGGGCATTTGAAATTACAACGTCTAGTTTGATAATGAAGGTGGAGGCAGTCACTGCTGCCTTCCGCTGGTTTGAGAATCAGTTGTACACACATGCCGTGCTTGTAACTGGCTCACAGAGCTTAAAGAGAAAGGTATAGACAGGCATACTCCATGCAGAGTGGCAAGCATCAATACAGAGGTCCCGGGTAGTTAGCGTCCTTTGGATATTTTCTCCAGGTGATGCCGGTGTACTGGGAAAGGGGCAGGCAGAGAGACTGGCCGGCTCTGCCTCACTTGGTGGTGAAGTGATGTATGACAAGCTAGATATTGTGAGGGCCCTTTGGGAGCGAATGAACAGTATAGTGGCACAGATAGATCTTCTTTAGCGATCTCCTCCCATGCATAAGAAGGAATGTTAGCTGGAGGGTTCTTATGTTTCCCCAGTTGTCATCTCGACTGCAGTAACTCTTTTTTTTACTTCATCTAGACTCCAGTAACTCACATTTACTTCATCTCGACTCCAGTAACTCTCATTTACTTCATCTCGACTGCAGTAACTCTCTGTATGGGTTCCAATGGCTCTATTTTGGAGAACAACGAAGTAGACCGCTGCTCTCCAACAAGCATTCGTAGGAGGCGACTAGTTAAGGGTGTTTCTTCAAAGTCAAGTCTGCCTGACAGGCAAGGAACAAACAGTCTACAAATTTAATCAGCCTTATCTGTGAATGGAATGTGCACGCAAAACTCCCGTTCTGGATCAAGACCAAAGTCCGGGAGTGGACAAACAACTAAAACTTTCCGCCTGAGCTTACAGACAGCGAACGAGAAGAAGAAGAAGAAGAACCTGGCATGATAGTTGTTCTGGGACAAAACATCACGTGCCGGACCTCTCCTCCTGGATTTTACCTGACGGTCTGACTTGAACGAAACCGAAAGTTAAGAAGTAGAAGAAAAAGGAGATTTCATTATGATGCAGTACACAACTAGTGTTTTTTAACAAATGAACGAATCCTGCCCTACTGACCACAATAACTGTGACTCAAGTTTGTGGTATGGCTTTCCTCTCGAGCATCCTGACAATGATTGCGAAGTTGTGTGTGTGTGTTTGGTCCTCTTAACAGAGGAATTTAAGTATTTGGGAGCAATTTTCACATCCGACGGAAAACTGGACATATAAATTAGCTCGAAATGTGCCTAAGCTAATCAAGTGATAGGGCGACTATCTCCCCCTGTTGACACACAAGCAGATACCTCGGAGTACTAAAGAGAATCTTATCAGAACTATTTTTTGGCCAACACTATGCTATCAGTGCCAAACGTGGACACTTACATCCTCCAATGAACGTAAAATTGTGACAAGAGAGATGAAATACCCTAGAAGAGCTGCCGGAGTTTCAAGGAAAGACAGAATACGAAATCACGAAATCAGACGAATGCTAGGAATAAAGCATCAAAGGTCAACAAATCAAGTGGTTTGGACACCTAAAAAGAATGCCCTGGTACTATCTGCCACAGCGAGCCACACTAAAACGTTACAACGGATATAAATCGAGTGGAAGACATCGGAAAATATGGAGTAATGGCATTAAGAACAGCCTTTCAGAAATGAACATCAGTCTTAAAAGAACTCTTGACAGAGCTCATAAACGAACATTACATCTCCCCCCGACACTTCGATGAGGTACAAGGTGGAAGAGAAGAAGAAGAAGAAGAAGAAGAAGTGTTTGGTCTTAACCTCAGGGAAACAAGGTACTGCTGTGAAAGTTAAGGCGACCGACATAACGATCACCACAACACTCATCGAGTGCCGATTGGTCTATAAACATGTGAGTTGGCATTGTAAGCCTGATGCCCCACTTGCGTGAAAAAGGTCTGTTCACGTTAAATGTTGAATTAAAAATCAACATCATAGCACTCGGGACACTCCAATAAGCGCTCCACCCCTATCTCCAGCAGCAAGCGAAGAGTTCCAGTTCCGAAGGCACCAGTAACTGTCTGTTGTTTACTTTACGGTATTAGATTAGAAGTGAGCTTTGACTCTGCCTCTTCTCCTCCAGCCAGTGGTCGTACAGGTGGCTGCTGATCTCCTGTGTGCCAAGCGCCACCACTCAGTTCCTGTTCCAGTACATCCCAACCATTGCTGTCATCAAAGGAGCCAGCAAAGACCAGGCGGCCACACTAGTGACCATCATCGGATCGGTTGATCTGGTCAGTCGTCTGGCTACTGGCGTCTTTGCTGATACCCACTTGCTGAAGGCAACCCAGATTGTAGCAATCTCTCAGATTTGTCAAGGTAAGTTGCTTTACAACGACACAGGCTTTTCTAGATGGTTTAGGCGTTTATGTCTGTCTCTGGATATATGTCTGTCTTTGGCTCTGTGAATTAGTTCTTTTGAAGATATTCATCCATGCCAACACCTTAAACCACGTATAATCGTTTCTTTCCTAATCCGCCTGACCGGAAGCCACCCCCGCTCCCTTTTATTCCAGATAAAAAAAGTGCCAGTACTCACCACAAAGTATTACCAAAAAAAAAAAAAAAAGGTGCTGGTACTTACCACAAATAGTCAGTTGCAGTAGCACTGAAGCCGGGATGTTGAACAAAAGTGCCGGTACTGTGCACCGTTGCCTACGGCCAGAGAAAACGCGGCTTCTGAGTATTCTTTTTTTAACCTTTCAAATTGTTCGAACTTCTTCATCCCTTGACCAAAGAACACGGTTTAGTTCTTGTTCTTCATTTAATTTCGAATTTTCCTGTGAATATACTTCCCGAAAGCTGCAGTCACTTTGAGTTTGTTGACATCTTCATAGTTTCTTCCCTGAAACAAACACAAAAAAAAAAAAAAAAGCAAAAGTTTCAAATCTTTTGCAAGATATCGAAAATTATCCCCAGCATTGGTTGGATGTTGTGGTTTGACTAGACCATTTTAAGTTCATTAGTTTGCCATTGTTGTCAGTACGGTCGGCCTCCTATACCAATTTTCAAATCAACGGAAGACTGTCTGCTGCCAAATCATATGAAGCTGAACTGAGCAGGGTATGTTTTGAATTATAAACTATGCTTGCCTGCCCTTCGCCATCAGATCTCCACTTGTTCCAAGAAAATGCTTCTGAAGGTCAAAATACTCTCTGCTCTGAATACGCTGAATCTCCTTTTTATATGTCCCTAGTGTTTCCTTTATTCTACCCGCGCGGTATCATGTGCCCAGTTTTGGGAGAAACGAGAACAGACACAAGGCCTCTCACTGTCTGTCCTTATGATATACCCAATATATAGCCTGCTTCTTCTTGTTCTTCATAGTTCTGAGCCCTTGAGGTTCAATGCTGCAGATATCACCCGCCTCCATTCATCTGGTTGGCCTTCTCTTTCCAGTTGGTGACACAAAGTGTTTTCAGGTCTGTCTGGGATATTATCTCTCCATCATCTCCTAATATAGACATCGTCCTTTATTGTTAACAGTTGATACAAACGATTGTCATGACATTTCGCTTTTCTCTTCGCTTTCTTGAATTATCGCCATTGGATAATACATTGCTTTTGACGTCAGAGCACATCTGTTTGAGACGCGAAGAACCAACATTATGCATATAAATATGCCATGTCTGTAAAATGGATGTGCACGCGAAAATCAGGTACTGGGACAAGATCAAAGTGCGAAGGTCGACGAACAACCTGAAGCATCTGCCGGAGTTACAACCGTATGGCGATAAGAAGAAGATGAAGAAGAAGAAGACGAAGAAGAAGAAGAAGAAGAAGAAGAAGAAGAAGAAGAAGAAGAAGAAGAAGAAGAAGAAGAAGAAGAAGAAGAAGAAGAAGAAGAAGAAGAAGAAGAAGAAGAAGAAGAAGAAGAAGAAGAAGAAGAAGAAGAAGAAGAAGAAGAAGAAGAAGAAGAAGAAGAAGAAGAAGAAGAAGAAGAAGAAGAAGAAGAAGAAGAAGAAGAAGAAGACGAAGAAGAAGAAGAAGAAGAAGAAGAAGAAGAAGAAGAAGAAGAAGAAGAAGAAGAAGAAGAAGAAGAAGAAGAAGAAGAAGAAAAAGAAGAAGAAGGAAAAGAAAAAGAAGAAACTTTCCAATGAGTTCTTAAATTCTTTAACATTTTTTTCTTTTTGTTTTAAGCAGCCATTGGCAATTTACTCACCTTCTGTGGGTTCCATTACCCCATTTCAGGGGTTGTGGTTAAGGAGGGGTGGGGCGGGGGGGGGGGGGGGTGGGGGGTGGAGACAGGAACTCACCCACTGTCCCTTACAAGCATGCAGTAAAGGGCAACTAATTTCATGTTCACCAAAATGAGATGATTTGGGCCGAAGGGCGCAAGTATGTTACCACGACATCTTGCCAATGGCCCTTTTAGAGGCAAGGAAGGAGAAGAAGAAGAAGAAGAAGAAGAAGAAGAAGAAGAAGAAGAAGAAGAAGAAGAAGAAGAAGAAGAAGAAGAAGAAGAAGAAGAAGAAGAAGAAGAAGAAGAAGAAGAAGAAGAAGAAGAAGAAGAAGAAGAAGAAGAAGAAGAAGAAGACGAAGACGAAGAAAAAGAAGAAGAACTTTACCTAGTCAGAGTATTACATATTACAAAGTTCATTTATACAAATATTTAAAAGAAAAAAAAAAAATTAAACCCCCCCCCCCCCCCCCCCCACCCCCCCCCCCCCCCCCCCCCCCCCCCCCCCCCCCCCAAAAAAAAATTTTTTTTTTATCTCCATCGCCACTTTATTGTTAAACGCAGAACAGGTGTTTTACACTTGTCGAGATTTTGAGGAGGAGTCCGGAGCACCTATGGACCTGTCCGGAGTATTGTAATGTGATGATCCACACTGATCACTTCCTAGTTTGCTTCTCAACATTTCAAAATTGATTGACCGCATAAATACAACTTATAATTTCATTGCCTTCTTTCAGGAATCCTGTGCCAGTTCAACTCGTTGTTTGACAGTTTTGAAAAGATGATCGCCATGGTGGTTGTCATGGGGCTGTTTATAGGGACCCGACAGTCGCTGATGGCCATGACGCACATTGAGATCGTGGGCATGTCCAAGATGTCGCGATGCCTGAGCATCTCCGCAATGGTAGCCACCGTCTCGGCTGCCAGCCATAGCCCTATGTTGAGTAAGTGACTCAAGGGGAGGTTCTTGAGGATGCCTTTCCTGTTGTAAACGTATCGATTTTAAACGTTGGTGTGTACCCTGATGTCAGCGTTTGTGGCTTAGGCGTTGCAAACGAGCTTTGTAATGCAGGGGTGCCGGGTTCAATTCCAGCTGCGGGCCTTGCGCCTTGCGTTGGTTTCGAGGGTGGTATCGAGAAGCTGACCGTCTAGTAAACAATCGAAAACTACTGGACGTAAATTCGCTTAGAAAACCATACCAGCAAAAAAATGCTGGAGTTGGTTCTGCAAACTCCTGTAAAGGTTACGCAACTAACTTTATACCCTGATGGGCTTTAGTTTCCTATCCACGGGGAAAGAGGTGGGGGGGGGGGGGGTTTGAGGTTTTCCTAGATACATTTTAATTTCAGTAGTTTGCCGTTGCTTACTGAACGATCAGCTCTCGGTTCCACTGTTGAAAACAACGTAAAACTGACTGCTGACAAATCGCTGGCAGGTGGGATAGAACCCAGCACCCAAGCATTACAAAGCGTGTTCGTAACGCATAAGCCGACAATAAGATTACAGTGAAACCTCGCTTAACGAGCATAATTCGTTCCAGAATCATACTAGCTAAGCGAAACACTCGTTATGCGGAACAATTTTTCTTATATAAATTAATGTAAAATACGATAATGCGTTCTATGTCAAAAAAAAAAAAAAAATGCTATTTATAACGTTCATTCAAAGAAAATTATATACATACTGTTAAGGAGAGTAAATCATCTTCATCTTTTCTTCAAACGCGCAACGAACCCACCTGAAATGCGAATTCGACTTGCAGGGGAAAAAAAGTCAAAATAATTATGGTACATAGCTAATTATTATTATTTGTTTTTACTAGAAAGATGGCCAGAGACATTTGTTTCTGCTGACGCTTCAAAATTTTCGAAAATACGACACAGCAATATCATTTAATAAATTTGCAACGCGCATAGCCACTTCCTTATTAGGGTGATGCTTCTCAATGTAAGATGCAACAGTTTCTCATACTTTAAGCATTTCTCTTATTTCACCAGAAGATTGTTGCTTTTCTGTTCCGACAAACTTTCCTCCAAAACTTCTTGCTCTGAAACACAATGCAACTCCATTAGCTCTTGGGTGGTCAGCTCTTGGCTGTGCTCTTCCACAAGCTCTTCGATATCACTGTTATCCACCTACAATCCCATGATAGTGGCCAAAGACACAATCTCGTCTACAGGTTCCACAGGCACTGTCTCGCGCCCCTCAAAGTCACAAATCGACAATGCTCTCCGGCCAAAGCTTCTTCCAAGCAGAAGTTAGGGTTCTCTTAGTAACCCCTTCCGTAGCCTTGTCAATTATCTTGAGGCAGGCAACGATGTAGACGTGATTTTTCAAAAACTCTTTGAGAGTGAGGTTGGCACCTTCAGTCACCTGAAAACAATGCTCGAAGAGGGCTTTAGTGTAGAGTTTCTTAAAGTTAGAAATAACTTGCTGGTCCATGGGCTGGAGTAACGCAGTGGTGTTGGGAGGCAGAAACTGGATCTTGATGAACTTAAATTCTTCAGAGAGGTCATCTTGTAGGCCTGGAAGAGTCATGTACATATTTCACAATATAACACACAAGTTTGAGAAAATGTGTGATCACAAACGACGCTACGATGCTACTGGAACGAGTGCTAAACACATACTGATGTAACATGCACACAATTCGGGACTTCCCCTCTCCTCGCCACTCGTTATGCGAAACGTCACTCGTTAGGCAAGTCATTCTTTTACAATTTGTTTTGCTCGTTATGCGAATCACTCGTTATGAGAAGTGCTCATTAAGTGAGGTTCTAATGTATTACCAAAGTGATAAAGAAGTGTTATTCATTAGAGATCAACAAATTAGATGGTTTGGCCATCTGACGATAATACCTTGGTACTAACTGCAATAGAGAGCTACGCTGCAGATATATAATGAAAAAAGAGCACGGGAGCGACGGCATCAAAAACAGCCTTAATAAAATGAAGATCAAGGAAGAAAAAGAAGAAGAACAAGTAGAAGAAGAAGAAGAATGAGAAGAAGAAGAAGAAGAATGAGAAGAAGATAACGTTGTGCAGACGTGAGACTGTAAAAAACTTTAGTTAAAAGACCCAGTCATTCCGGAACAAGTCTGTAAAATGTTTAGGTGAAATGAAATCTCCGTAGGAGATAAACGGCTGAAGAAGAGATATAGACAGCATGTAGTGTATTTTACTGTCATTCATTATTATCCCACCATGCCACTATGCATCTTATAAGGCAGTCCAGTCCAACCTTGCCTTCTAACCTGCTGTCCAACCTTGCCTTCTAACCTGCTGTCCAAGATTGCTTGCCTTCTAACCTGCAGTCCAACCTTGCCTTCTAACCTGCTGTCCAACCTTGCCTTCTAACCTGCTGTCCAACCTTGCCTTCTAACCTGCTGTCCAACCTTGCCTTCTAACCTGCTGTCCAACCTTGCCTTCTAACCTGCAGTCCAACCTTGCCTTCTAACCTGCTGTCCAAGATTGCCTTCTAACCTGCTGTCCAACCTTGCCTTCTAACCTGCTGTCCAACCTTGCCTTCTAACCTGCTGTCCAACCTTGCATTCTAACCTGCTGTCCAACCTTGCCTTCTAACCTGCTGTCCAACCTTGCCTTCTAACCTGCAGTCCAACCTTGCCTTCTAACCTGCTGTCCAACCTTGCCTTCTAACCTGCAGTCCAACCTTGCCTTCTAACCTGCTGTCCAAGATTGCCTTCTAACCTGCTGTCCAACCTTGCCTTCTAACCTGCTGTCCAACCTTGCCTTCTAACCTGCTGTCCAACCTTGCCTTCTAACCTGCTGTCCAAGATTTCCATTAAGCGGCCCACTATTCCCTGAAATGCACGCCGTCAAATGCGACTAATTAGTGCTGAAAGTGGATGTTTTGTGCCGAAAAAAAAAAAACACACAGCCTAGCTATAAATCACAAAACAACTTGCCAACAGCCAAGCGCGAACACCAGGAAAAAAAAAAGAAGTTGAAGAAGAATAAGAAGAAGAAGAAGAGGAAGAAGAAAAAGAAAAAGAAAAAGAAGAAGAAGAGGAAGAAGAAGAAGAAGAAGAAGAAGAAGAAGAAGAAGAAGAAGAAGAAGAAGAAGAAGAAGAAGAAGAAGAAGAAGAAGAAATAGAAGAAGAAGAAAAGCAGAAGAAGAAAAAGAAGAAAAAGAAGAAGAAAAAGAAAAAGAAGAAGAAGAGGATAAGAAGAAGAAGAAGAGGAAGCAATTATAATATATATATATACTCCCACACCCCGCTGGTACAGTGATTACACAGTTGCCTGCCCGTCTAAAAGTTTTGTGCTGGGATCTGTATCAAGGCTATTGTTATAAATAACCCAGACCCCTGGTCAGCTTAAACAGAATGAATACCAGAAAACGCGACAGCCTGCCTGATGTCGACCAGATCAACCAGCGATTGCAGATTGATCTAGCAGTGTGTTTATATAGGATGAAATCAAAGGCGAAGAGCTGTTCTGTAATTTCTGTTCTTGCACCATGCAATCATCATTATCATTATCATCATCGTCATCGTCACCACAATGTCACGCCGTAAACGTGACAAATGGTTCTCACTATAGGTCTCCATCCCGCTCTGTAAAATTTTTTCAATAGTTTGGATGGAATTCAGTCAATCAGCATTGGCCTCTCTCATCACTGGTTGTCCTAGGGTTTCTCATCAATGTCCTGGTTTCATCATTCCATTTGCTTCCATTTCGGTGCTTGCTTAGTAATTTGGCATTGTTGAAAGTGCAATACGTAGGTAATTCAAGTTCACTGGCTCTGAACTCTGGTGGAAAGTTCTGGTTGTTCGCCCACTTCTGGACTTTGTTCTTGTTCCGGAACTTGAGCTTTGCGCGCACATCCGTTTTACAAATCTGGCTTTATCGAATACAGACCATTAGTTCCTCGCCTCTCAGGTAGATTCACTGCGACTTGGATGGAGACACTCCTAATTTGTCGACTCTTATGACATGCCATTTGAGGTCAGCGGGTCTAACCTCCCCCCGCCCCCTCCCAGTAAGACCCCGGAACTCACCAGGGGAGTATTATAATAATCCTTATTTTATCTTGATTCCACTTTCACCCAGGTGCCATCATGGAAGCCACTGGTTCCTACAACATTGTACTCCATTATGTGGGTGTGGCTTTGATTGTCGGCGCGCTCCTGATGCTAGTGGCTTCATTCCTGGATCAGCGAGATAAAAAACAGGAAGCAAAAAAGGCAACAGCACACACGAAATAAATAATAGTTGTGTGACATTCGTGAACAGCTGACGCAAAAGTGAAACAGAAATCAAAAACATGTTAGGTGTGGTCAAACAGGGTTTGAACAATGTGAAGACAAAATATCTACACCCGGTGAAATTTGAAAACCTCATCAAAAATACGAATTCTCAAATATTGTGTATACCCAACATTATTGTGTGTTGTACGAGGGAGCTTCAAGAGGATTCTTCAAAATGTGATAAAAATTACAGTAAGCATGCCATTGTCTTGTAAAATGTTAATACGTTTGTTAAAAATATGATGGTTCAAATTCAAAACACATGCACCAAAAAGGAGCAGCGCTCTGTTTTCCGTGTTTTAATCAGTGAAATACAGAAATTCATCTGCAAATGGAGGCCCTGTGTGGTGACGTATGCCTGTCAGTCCAGCAACTGTACAACTTGGGGTAGGATATTTCAAAACGGGGAGACTTATGTGACAGACTGTGTACCTGAACCGGTCGTCCGTCGTTATCACACTTTACAGTTCTTATTTTCAGCCTTTTCATAGAAATCAGGACAATGAACAAGCAGCTTGAAAGCCAGATTAGAGAGATGTCGATGACTAGAGGAATAGGTTGTATTTTACCGAAACAAAAACAATCACGTACAAAGGCTCTGGAGAGGCGGAATAAAAATAGGGTTGATGTAAAGATATATATATATATATATATATAATATATATATATATATATATATATATATATATATATATATATATATATATATATATATAGAGAGAGAGAGAGAGAGAGCGCAAACGAATGAATGACGAACTTTACTTTCAAAGAGTCACAAATTGGGTTCGCAGACCCCTTTTATATTCGGCCCTTCCAAACGCCCATCTTCCACACAGCTGTTGTTTTTATCAATAAAGCATGTTATGTTCATGCAACAAGTTACACAACATGACAATCATGTAAACAACACAAATGCATGGATGGTAAATGTATGCACTAGGGCTGTACCGAATATTCGCTTCGGGGCCGAATAGTGGACCTAATAGCTATTCGGTATTCGGCCGAATAGTGGCGGTCGGGCCGAATACGAATAGTGATTTCTGCATACACTGCAATGGACTGAAATAACTCTCTCATTAACACAATAGTTGTCGTTGCCTAAGTTTGTCCACCGCCTTCTCCAGACTGAGTCGGCCGTGGTCTTTGCCTGCTGACTCGTTTTAGGCATTACAGCAGAGGTTCTCAAACTGGGTGCGTAAGCCAGGGGTGCTGCGGCGAAAATCAAGAAAAGTCAGCTATAAATTGTAACATTATTAAAGAAGGCAAGAAGATACTTAAAAGTTGAAATTCAAATTGTCTTTCCTCGCCATTGTAAAAAAAAAAAAAAAAATTCTTTTTCTCTCATGTTTCACACTCAAAGTGTATTATACTGCATAAAATGCCAACTGTAGCGTGCTAACAATTGTCTCTGTGTTCATCTCGACATGCGACCGATTCTCCATCTGTATTCCTGAAGGTGCAGCAGATATGTAAGCACATTTATTTAAAGGCAATGCGATTTTTTGTTGTTGTTGTTGCTTGTGTGTCTGTGTGTGTGTGAAAGAGAGAGAGAGAGAGAGAGAGAGAGAGAGAGAGAGAGAGAGAGAGAGAGAGAGAGAGAGAGAGAGATCATGTATTTTTTCGTTCTTTCAGGGTGTCTTTGCCCAAATCAAATTTGAAGATATTCCTAACAAGAATTTGAAAGTGCGTTTAAATTACGTCGAACGAATTTGGCATATGGATAACATCCGATGGAAGATGCATTACTGAAATAAGAAACAGAAAAAGACAGGCAAAAACTGCATTTTATAAAATGAAGAACATCTTACGCAATATATCTTTGTCATTGAAGGTTAGAAAAAAGAATTCTTGCTTGCTGCATACATCCAGTTTTAACATATGGTTGTGTCCTCCAAGAGGTTTTGAATGAGACGGGAGCCCGAAGACAACTTATCACAGACATCAGAAGGAGACAGTCATCATTTTTCGGCCATGTTATGAGAAGAGGGAAAATGGAACACATGGTAACCACTGGAAAAATCTTTGGATGGAGAGATAAAGAAAGACAACGAGAGAAGATTCTTGACAGTCTTGCTGCATGGCACGGAGGGGTGTCAGCACACGAACTGATCCATGCTGCAGGAGATCGCAGATTGTGACGAGGTAAAATCGCCAACGCCAGTCGGCAAGGCACCTGATGATGATGATACACTATTCGTATTCGGCCGAATAGTTGGACCCACTATTCGTATTCGGCCGAATAGTGAAAATCACTATTCGGTACAGCTCTAGTATGCACATATACAAACATACATACATATATGCATGCCTAAGTGCATGAATATATATATACACACACATGCACGCACGCACACACACACACAGAGAGAGAGAGAGAGAGAGAGAGAGAGAGAGAGAGGGAGAGAGAGTTGAAAAATTTCAACCACGGTAAAAGACACAATACTCTTTCAAGAACCCTACTGGATGGAAAAGTCAAAAGAAGAGAGCAAGAGGTAGACAACAATACTAGTCGCCGTTGTTATTTCGGGGGGGGGGGGGGGGGGGAGGGCGTGGTGGACATGGGGCTCTGAATTTCATGCATTTGTTTCACGGACGCCTCGTGAAGTTTACGAGCACAGTTTTTAGGAGACCTCATGTCGTCGCTAGAGCTACAGAGTTCGTAATTTGTGTGACGGTTGCAGCAGGCGGCTGCCCCTCTGCAGAGAGAGAGAGAGAGAGAGAGAGAGAGAGAGAGAGAGAGAAAGAGACATAACGTATATGGGATAAAATCCAGTGAAATGACTTTAAATTCAGTATTAGAGATGCATTGTATCCTCTGTAGCGATAATAAATTTATTCTAGGCTTGTCGCTACATTAACCGTAGATGCAGTGAAGCGATCCAGGTATTGTTACAGCTAGCTCCCATTTTATATCATAAGACAATCCCAATCAGCTAAAAAACCTATCTCAAACAAGCATGTTCCCTCCCACCCAGCATACAAGGGCTAGACATGGCTCCTCGTAACAAACAAGTAAAGAACATTAGTAAATATGCAAATGAGATGTCTGAGAAAATCTTCAGGAGTGACCATAAGATATAACATCAAGAATGAGGTCATAAGCGTAAAAGTCGGCACAGAACCAATTCTAAAATACATACAGAGACAGCGAATTAAATGGCTGGCCCTTCTGAAAGAATGCCTTGTGACACCAGACCATACAAAAACAGACACCAAAATAGAGAAAGACATAGAACACAGAGTAGACAAAGAACAAGATAAGAAGAAAACAACAGAGAAACTCTACCACAGCACAATCGTGACTATGGTTAAGGCTTCCAAAAAAGCAAGAAGCGGAACCCTATATCTCCTTTAACACCATAAGTTGTTTTTAGATATTTGTTGTCATAAGCGGTGTAAGATGAAGTGAAGAAGTTGGAGACGTATTATAGTCAGCCTACATTGTGGAGGTGATCTATTGATTGTGATAGTATTTTGTTTTCCTTATGCTATTTATATTATAATATTGTATGATTTCAATTACCATTATCATCACAAAGTGCTTTGTCCACTGGCGTAGGCGATCGTGCTTCTCCCGGTCTTGTCATCTGAACCAGCATGTTTTAAATCGCGTTCTCACATCTTTTCTTTCCCATGAAAAAGTGTCAAACGTTTATTCTTGTTTTTTTTTTTTACCCTCCCGTTTCCCATTCTGCCTCTGAAAAACCTGCCAGATATCTCATGTTTCAGTATTACTCTTCTAAAAACATGTCCTGACAGATTATGCCTTGTTGGTAAAGGAGGAGACGGGAATGCTCCGTGCAGTGGCAAGCATGGCTTAAGAGATCCTAGGTAGTTAGCGTGCTTTGAATATTTTCTCGAGGTCATTCAAGTGTGTTGGGACACACACATGTAGACAGACTGATTCTACATGGAAATATAAGCTGTATAGGGATATCTTTATTGAATTATAATGAATTGTCGCTGGATGGGTGAGACAGTCTATATTACACCGACCAACTTTCCTTTCTGAAGATTTTCGGGCTTTTTTTTTTTTTAAGACCCTTGTTACCCTTGGAATTCATTTCACTAAAATACCACCCCCCCCCCCCCCCAATTTTTTAAAAAAAACCAAGGAATTTAAACACGGGGCTAGAGTACCGTGGGTAAGCGTTTTTGGCCACTGTTTCTTGACTTTTGATTTGTTCCTGATTTAGATAAAGTCAAGACATATTTTTATTTATTATCCAATCATTAGTTTGACTTGGTCGTTAGACGGCGTTCCAACTTCATGACAAACCGGTTACCTCCTAAACAGTCAGTTCATGTGGCAGTGGAAGTTACCCCCCCCCCCCCCCCCCCCCCCCCCCAAAAAAAAAAAAAAATATGTCACTGTCGTTTTTGAAAACGAGCGAAAAACAAAACAGTCCCAGCCAAATCTAGGTCACACACACACACACACACACACAGCTACGTTATTTTAGGTATGTTAATTATCAGATGTGAAAACAAAATTCTTACACTATTACAATAACAGTTTTACGTGTACGCCCGTATTTGTGTATGTAATGTCTAAGTAGGAATTTAAAAAGATGCGAAGAAATACGAATACGAATAATGTCTAGACAAACACTTGTATCAACCGCCATTAGCCCCAACATCTGACAATACATAAGGGACGCTCTAAAGAGAAGAACATATGGAATTATCAAACAGACACTGAAATGGGAAACAAACGGACTGAGGAAACAAGGACGTCCAAGGAAAAGGGAAAAAAAAAGATTGAAATATTGATAAAAAAGAACAGAGCTGATGAACTGAATTCCATTACTGAAATAACTGCCAACCATAGAACGGAATGGAGAAATAAACTGAAGCTATTGTATATGATATAACGGAATGGACAAATAAACTGAAACTATTGCACAGGAAAGAGCGGAATGGATAAATAAACTGTAACAATTATACAGGATAGAACA